TGTTTTCTGGCACCCAACACCCCAAAAAAAAAAAAAAAGGGGTGTGAGGGGGGGGGGGGGGGGGGTTCTGGTCTGGAGATACAAACATGTTGACAAACATGTTAAACACGGTTTGTCATTCTAAAATGATAGGGACAGATACACATTGCCATGGTTACAAGAATTTATCAAACTTTAAATCAATCACAGATAAATTAAAACAAGCAGACGGGAGTGCAGTAAAATGTGGAGTGCAAAACTTCTTGACAATAAAAACATCAGTATCGGTTGGTTTTCATTAACTAGTCAAGCCGAACTCACCATAACCAACATCGAGCAGATTCCCAGCGGAAAGGAGAATGCACTCTTCTAAATAACAAACCGCGCCAAAGCACTCTTAGTCAACACTGTTTTTTGGAAACAATTAAGACAATCTGGGACCTCTAGCCACGCCGCGACGAGCTGGAGCAGATTGTTTTTGCTGTGCAATATATCTCCGGTGGGACAGGATTCGGCAATCAGATGTTTTTGTTTTTTGTGTGTGCGCGTTCTGTCCAATGAGGTGCCAGAGTGCAAGTTCAGACTGCTTACGTCACAGAGTCAGCGAATTCATCTGTTTGCTGCAGAAACAAAAACAAATTTGTGCGATGCACCTTTTTTTGCTTTAAAGACATCAGTTCCATTAAAACAAAGAAGGTAGATGTAGAACACATGGACATATAAATCCTAAACCATGGAGGATATATCTATAAACTAATTAGGTGTAGTATAAATGTAGGTTTAGTCCATTGAAATAGGCCACTATACATTCGATTCTTAATAACTTTAAAAGAGTATTTAATAACTCGCTGAAATGCAACTATGTTTACTACATCGGAAATCTAGAGCACCGTGATTGTTCTTCCCTGCTGCCATCTCTGGCAAATGAGTTGGTGTTATCAGAGTGCAGCTCAGTCATATTTATCAAAGAAAATTACAGATAGTTTTACATTGAACAATTAGGAATTTCACCATTAACCATCTATCAATGTATCCGTTTCATATTAGTAAATGCAGTGTCACGGGAAAACGAAAATTTCCCAGAAATATACAATGAAGAAAGACAAAAACTAACATCTGTTTAAAAGTATAAGAAATGTCTGTGGAAGTCGGTAGATTTTTGTGAGTGCCTGCAAGTTCCACATGTTCCACCAGATGGCAGTATTTCTCTTTAAGAACGATCAACCGCAATTCTGCAAAAATTACAATAAATGTTGGCCAAAAATTTGAACCAACCACCTTATATTTAATCCCCATTTAAAGTATTTCATCAAATTGGCTCTGAAACATTGGTCTCTATGGACTGGAAATGACATAAAGCTATGAAATATTTTCCCAATTTCAAACCTATGCCTGGAACATGATTTTTTGTTTTGTTTTATTTATTTATTTTTTATCTCTGGCATATGTTTAGTAGGGTTACATTAATTAAAAAGTGTTACATGACAGGAACTACATGTATGAGAAGCATAAACTGTTCTCTCGTGCTGCTGCTGCTGAGCAGCTCCAGTGGAGCCGCTGTGGATTAAGGATTCCAATTTGCAATCTTTGGGTCAGAAAGCTACTTCTTGAATTTTCAGCCAACCATCACTTCTAATACTTTCCTGATGGCTGTATTTGATGGAAAATACAGCCAACAAGGATGAGCACTTGTTTTTGCTCATCCTTGTTTACTAACCAATCATAACATGCTTAAATCATAGATTCTTTTTAAACATTTTGTTTGTTCTTTTTGATTTAGTCTCCATATCCATATTCAAGTTTTGTATGGCAATGTTCATTCAAGATAATTGTAACAATTGCAGACTGTCTTGTTGACAAGGAAAGGTTGTAAAATAAAGATGGCATTATGCTGATATTAAGATTTGGATGTAAAGTTAGAAGGTATCCTTTATTATCTATTCTCTGCTTTAATCCTAGTGAAACATTTCACTAGGATGCAAAGTACCAGCATGTGAAGAAATAGTAAATAATAAATATTAGTCACTGAACAAAATAAAATTTCTGGGTAATGTAATAAAAAATGTAGACAAAACCAGTCTTTCTAGAAATAATTTGGGTTTAGATGCATCTAAAAACAAATTACTTGAAATGTGAGGCATTGGATTAACTTAGTATTCAACATTTAGTCCAAAACACTTATGAAAATAAATAAATCTTACCTCAGTTGAAGCACTGAATCAATCAAGAACAAATCAAAATGCATTTTGATTATTATTTTGTTAAGAAATTAAGCAAAGAAAATGGTCAATGAAGCCCCTGAATAGTCCAGGAAAATTAAGAAAAGATGAAACTACATTGTTTTTTATCATACACATGTTACGTACAAACAGCATCTCCCATTCAGGTTTCTCTTCCTAGGGAGTTCTTTTCTCAGGCTTTTCAAAGAAAACTGATCTCTGGTTAATTTACTGTATAACCTTGGACTGTTCGAATTGAGTTCAGGAAGAGAAAAGCAACCTCTCCGAATTACCTCCTCCACCTGTGCTTCCAGCATGAAGGGTGCTCAATCAGTCAATCAATCAATTTTATTGAAATAAAACAAAGTTTGTAACTGCAACTACATCATGGTATGGGGATGCTTTGTCTGACCACAACCTGACCTGTTCGCTTTTATTCTGAAACAAAAAAAAAAAAAACCTGCAGATGTCTTGATCATATCTTTTATGAAATATGAGATAAGAGCAATGAAAAGCAAAGCAAGTGAAGAAAAAATTGTTTTAAAATTGGTGTTTCAAATGTGAAATAAAACATTTCCAAATATCTATTTTGTTTCTTAAATGTTGCTCCAAATCTCTTTCATATTTTAAAGGGATTTCTTTGTTTAAAGAAAACGGTGAGAGTAATCCTCTCTCTGACAGGTAAGATACATTGGATCTTTGTTCTGCCAAAGATTGTATGACATATCCTCACCTATCTGTTCCAGCTGAGATGAGGGATGCGCTGGCCTGCTGTGGCTATTTTCTCCCGTCAAAGCAAAAATCGATATCTGTTCTCAGTTGAGATGAGACGAGGAAACGCAAACGTGACGTCTCCTCAGCAGACTCGTATGTCTTCTTCCGTCTCTTTTATCTCAGTCTCACATTGCTCTTCAGTCCCTGAGAAGATGCAAATTGTTCCCGACCGACGGCATCGGACCATTTTATCAACATGATGTATTTTCAAATGTACAGAAAGTTCAAACTTCGGATATAAAATAGAGTGAAAACCAGGAGAATTCCAACTAAAGAGACCTTGAAATCACCTTCATCCACCAATGTGTTTCAGTTCTGGTGAAAATATTTACCCTATTATTCAATTTTCTATGCCTAATCCTTACAGGCTCACATGGTGGGTGTTAAGTATCACTTTTGATAGGTCAACTTTTTATTTATTTATTTATTTATTTATTTAAGACCTTTCTGATGTAAGGCAACAGTACTAGCAACTGGTCCTCATTCAGTCATTTACCATCAAATTTAAAATGGCTTCCAATAGACTCCCAAATTAACAATAAAAATTGCCATTAACACAAATTACATATTCTATTTACAGGTATTGGCACAATGATTAAATATTTATCTTTTGAAACCTTTTTTATGAGTACTGCATGCTTTTTAAACCCCTCAGTCCTTGCAGTGGTAGATTTTCACTTTCTGAGGGTTTTCAATTAGACTGAAGCCACGACTCAGTGATGTCCAGTTGAAGAAAGTAATCTTCTCCTTCCCAAGAAACCTTTAAAGCTTTTGTGTTTTTCAGGCTGTTGTCCTGATGAAAAGCCCAAATCTTTTCCCTGAAAGTGAGTTTTTTGACACCAGCCAACCCTTTTCATATTTACAGTCCTTCATCTTTCTATTATATCCAATACCTTCAGTAAACTCTTTAGTGGTGCTAAAATGGGGCCCGGAAGAAATGCAGACCCTTTAGAAATGTTTTGTGTGGCAATTGTGTATTTTTATCCCAGTGGATTACATTTTCTTACCTTCACTTCAGCTTTGGACAGATCCGCTTTGTTTTCTTCTCCTTCTGAGTTTTTCTGCCATTCATTCGTAACAATGTCATCCATGACTTTTGCCTTTTGCCCATTTCAGTGGATCTGGACACAACTGGTTTTAATCTTCTGAACTATTTGCCATATGGCAGCAGTAGAGGGTGACCATTATGTTCACAATCTTTGATGACACTGTCTGCCTTTCTTTTCTATCTTGGTGATATAGACCCAATCTATCTGTTGGAGCCAACAAACAACTGTGCCATCTTGACTAGATGCAGCAGTGCAATTAATTTTTTTCCCCACCAAATGTCAGGATGGCTTTCTACAAACATTTTGAAGATTGTGTCTGTTTCAGCTTCCTGGGAATGAAAAGCCAGTGTTGTGCTTTCCTCACCAGGTGGGAGGCGTTAGTGGCCCGATTTCAGCTGTGCAGTTACTCCCTGGTAATTAAGATTCCCTCCAATCGCCACTATCTTGCGGTGCATTAGGAAAAGATGTTGATTATCTCTTTTGTTTTTGAGGTGTACTTAAGGACCAGGATGTTGTCCCAAACCATAGGCTCCGCTTTCAGCTCAAAGGCATTTCCATCTTCAATAAAAATGAACACAATGACTGTAATCTCATTGTCAAGCTTAGTTCTAAAGTTTGTGGGCAAAGTGTGTATTCAGTTATAGGTAGCTATTGAGAAGAGCATCTGGCTCCATTCACATCCCTGAGGTATGCTTGTGTTTGAAATAAAGTGGAAGAACTGTGCTTCCTGGCTCTGGTGTGTGGTTCACCTTTCAAGAATCCATGCTTTCAAAGAGGAATCATGACCCAGAGTGTTTAGCTTTGACCAGTTTGTGTTGGTTTACGGTGTAAAATGCAGACCAAAAACCAGAACTATCCTCAGATAACTGTTGGATTCCTCCCAGGTGCTGCAGTTGCACTAATTCTCACACCTGTTCATATCTAGTAAAAAAAAGACCAGCAGGAACAATCTAAAGCTTGCAGACTGTCATCAGTGATGTTTTTAGACCAGTTGTCATTGTTGTAACACTCCAAACTGCTTATTCTCTCTTTCTCCACAATCTGGAATCACATTTTGCTTCCATCAGAGCTTCTCCTCAGCCCCAAAGCATCTTCTTTTTCTACTCTTCTGCTTTGTAATCTACCTACACCTTTTTCAACCCTACAAGATTCCATTAGTGAAGTAAAACTCAACTTTCCTCCCAAGTCGTATGATTTGGATTAATTAAAGTTATTTTTTTTTTTTTTAATTTGCCTCAGTCCAGTCCCACAGCAGATGTTTCATTTAAACATGACTCTATAAAAGCAGAGAGATTAACTAATCAAAATCATAAATACTAGTTAGAAAAGTTTGAGCTCTCAGCTTCACATATAAAGTAACTGAAAGACAATTTCCTTGGTGACAAGCTTCAGCAAACTTTGTTCATTCGGTGTTCCGGTGAGATTTTTGTGTACCGACTCCTCTGTTCTTTTAAATGAGTGAAACGAGTGAAGAGAAAATGCAAAGGGCCCTCAGCTGATGTTTGATTTTGTTATAATTGCAGCACTTTCTCCGAGACGAGTTATATTTGGTTGAGTTCCAGACATCTTTCCCTGCATTGGCTCAACAAGAGGGCTGGTAATCAGCGCTTTGATATCCATTTCTCAAAGAAAAAAAAAAAGATCTCAAAGGAGGCCAACTTGTCTGTGCCAAACCATTCAATAATGTGAAGGAATTAAAATTTGCAGAGAATGCCAATAACCAGCACCAAATCAGCATGACATTAAAAATAATAGGCATTAAATCCATGTGGGTCTTTCTTTGTTTAATAATCACATTTTCTGTATATTAATGTTTGTAGATTGTTATGTGGATCAAAGGACTTGTACTGAAATGAAGAAATTTGCTGATAATTTCTTAGCTTGATGGTAATTGCTGCATTGAGCATTAAAGGAAACTGGGCTCCTCTCCCATTTTGTTTCTCATTTCCAAATAACTATATTCCTAAACCTGAGCAGGTTTTGAAATACATCAACTTAAAATGTTTAGTCTGTAACTAGAACACCATCAACACCATCAACCTGTCAGAATTTTATTTTAATTTGATCAAATCAAACCGATCAAATGAATGTCTGGCTGTTTACTGGTGAAGGAGGACCAGTGAACAGTTATGCTAGAAATATCATCCAGGAAACATATATTATCTCCATGGATTTAAATACAGTTGAAAAGGACAAATTTTTCCTCACCAGCTCATCGTTTCTATTCAGAACACTTAATTCACTATTATAAGATAACTGGGAACTTATTTGAAGAAAAGGAAAAATTCAAGGCGGAAGAATCAGAATACAACTGTATACATTAATTATGCATAGAAAAGTACATCATTTATTGATATGATTTAGGCTATGTTGTTGACAGAGCTGTTACAAAAAAGGCTGTCACATGCCACTTCACTTCAGAATAATGGTGCTGGTCAGAACTGGAGTAGGACAGAATCCAACCTGAATCAAACCAGAATTTTAAAAAGTCAAATAACAGTTTTTGTTTCAAGCAGTCATTCAACTCTCTGTTGAGTTACAGACAGACTGGGCTCACCACAGAGCGCTAATAAATCTGGGTGGGGTGCCAGTTTGTCAGGTCTCCAAGAGACTGCCTCCCTCTCAGTGAACATTCCTTCTGTCTTCATGCTTATCAGTGGATAAATCATAAAATTTTTACAATATGAGCTCAAACTTGAATTAGATTGATCTTTCAGATATAATATCATAAATCATTTGCAATATTCAGCTCTTGTGTTTGGTGCATTGTACTTGCTTTTTTTAGAGTTTCCTTTAAATATTAAAAAATTTAGATAACTTTATTAATTGCATAATATTTGTGTTGTGTGCTAAAATACTAAACATCACTGGAGAAAAGCAATATAAATTATGGTACAGGGTCTTAAAGCTTGACCTGTCAGATGTCCAATGAGAGATAAACATAGTGAGACAGAGAACAATTAGATATTTAAAAACTAGAAAAGAAATGACAAAATCACGTTGTAATTTTCCAGAAGGACAAGAGGCTTTGTTTTGTACTCAGAACATCAGCATGGTGTAAGATGTGCATAAAATATCTCCCAGTTTGAAACAGATGAATAATGAATCCCTGTTTTTTGTGATTTAAGGGCCGCAAATCTTTCAGTGCTCTAAATTATTCATGTATTCAACTGAATCTGACTTTGAGGACATTTTTCCTTTCTTCTCCTGTTTCATGAATTTAGAGTGTCCCCTTCAGAGGAATTGCACCAAACTGCCAAGGCCAGCAGAGGTAACATAGAACGGCGTTTTCGAAAGGTTCCAGCCATCTGTTGGATGACTCGCACTAAAAGACCTCTTTGTTTTTGTCTTTTTCTTCGTTCCTCGATGTTCATTTGAGATGGTGCCAGTATCACATTGCTGCGTCTCCTTGTTATTCTGGAGAGGTGCATTCTTATCAGGCGGCTGTCCTGTATGTGTGTGGGAGGATAAGGTTGGGGGGGTGTCACGGTAACGCCTCGGTATGCTTGCTCCGCTCCATGCCCTCCAGTCTGTCGAGATCGCTCTGATTGGCATGCCACCGCTGTGAGATGAAAAGCAGTGGTGTGATACAAATTTATTGGGCCATGTTTCATCCTCTGAATCCTTTTGAAAGCAAAATTGGGATTCTCAAATAGTTCTGAAAATCTTGGAGACAAACAATACATATTTTACCTGCCTTGACATGACTGACACAAATTTTCAGTTTCATTTTTCCACTGCAGACTTGTCTCATGTTGGAGTCTTGACAAATTGGCTGCTAGGAAATATGGATCATGTCTGCTGGAGTTAAAACTCACACATTTCTGAGCACATTGCTCAATTACTTGGCAAAAATAGTATGATAATCATTATTTCTATGCCAACTTTCCAACTTGAACAAACAGGATGTCTTGGTGTGACATAAAGATGTTATCCTGAGCTGAAAGGCCAGTTTTCATCGCAAGTAAGATGAACCAATTCAAAAAAGGAATAAAACATTGTCCAAAAAGGCAATAAATAAATAAAAAAATCATCTATTGATTACATTTGAAATTAAAGACACCTGCCAACAAAGCAACGGTTGAAGTCTTGATCGGGATCTAACAGACCAGGTGTAAATTCTGATTTCTTTTTAAAACAATTTTCAGTGTAGACAAAGACAAATTAAACCTGCAGTAGTTATGAATATATGTGGCATGTCACTACTAAAAGACAAAAAGTAGAGATGTTCTTAAGCAATAGTGGTTTGTGTTTTCTCCTATGATGCAATATTTTTTTTAATCTGCGTCTCAGTCTCTGAGTTTGAAGGTCAAATATCATTTTTAGGAAGTACTTTAATATCAATGCCGCACATTTACACAACAATAACATTGTTAACATAAAGCATTAAGAAAAATATCTGGAGCTTTATGTTTGTGATTGTTAACAGCTTTAAGTCATGGTTAACAGCTGGAAGTACAACGATATTGCCCCCTGAAGTCTGAATTATGATTTGAAAACCCTGAGATCTCTGAACACCACTGAGTTTAATTCCAAGTGTAGCTGCTGCCAGTGCTGCACATAGTTGTTGAAAAAGCAGCAGGAATAAGCTACTTAGTAGCACTTCTGTTTCTGTCTAATGAGAACAGTGGCACACATTGCATTATAAAACAGCTATTTGTGTACTGATGTTCCTTTTGTGCTTAAATGTTTGAAATTAAGGTAAATATATTGTCATGGTCTTGTGTTGCTGGTAGATGTTACCACAAAAAGAGTCAGCGAACTTCACTGGTTTTCAGAATTGTCACTCTGTGATCTCTTTGTACTTGTCAGACAAATTCTGATGGTTTTTGCAATGAGGACACTGGCGATTCTTAGTGTGGTGTAACTTGCAGATCCAAGCTCCAATACTAAGACAAATCAAACTCTCTCCTCGAGAACTCACTCATTTCGAGTGTGATGTAATTCCAACTTCCTACAGGGAAATCAAACACAGGAGAAATGTACAATGCTGAAAAATCTTGTGGGTTTTTTTTAAGCACAATTTCTCATTTGCCTCAGTCCTCATCCCCCTCAGCTTACATTGAAAGTATGACAGGAATAGAAATAGTTGAATGCAGGAAATATGCAGGAATACTAATTAAAAAAAAAAAAGCTCCATTGTTGCTGTGGTTTCTTCCACAGACAGCATTAGTGGACAAGTACAAAGTGGACCTCTACGTTAACATAATTTCTTATTATTGTCGCATACGAAAATGCAAACAATCTCCTGCAAAAAAAAGAAAAAAGAAAAAGTGAAACCAGTCTCCTCATCAACTTCTTTAGATTTTCTTTTTCAGCCGTTTCTCCTAGTTCTTCTTAAATTGACCAGGACTGCTGAGAGATATGAAACACATCTGGTGATGCAGCAAAAACTTAAAACTCTGAGTTCTCAATTACTTGGTAGGTATGCTGAGACAATCAGTTTCTTTAAAGTTTCCAGCTTCTAGAGTGACCTTGAGTTTTGATTGGTTTTAATCATTATAGCCAATCAAGTTTAAGATATTGCTACATTAAAAAAAAAAAAAATCCTCAGATTAAAATTGTGTGATTAAAAAAGAGAAAAATTGATCAGGGATAAGGAAAGGAGCTGGCTGAAAAGATGCAAGGATGGCAGCACTTCCTTCCATTTTTAAAAATAGATTAAATGATCACCAACTTATAACTGTGATCTCAAGAATCAGAGATCAGTTTGAAGTAATTAGGTTCACATTTATATCTTTTACTATGCTTGTCTTAATATGTGGCGGTTTTGTTTTCACAAACAGAATAAATACTACATTAATCTCAAACTGTGTTTTTGTTCTACCAAGCTAAGTATTTAATATTTTAGGATGTAGTCTAGATTCCTTTTTAGAATGTGGAGTCTATGAATTAAGTTAAGGTTATAGTTGATGCAGTGATGGAAGTGGCGAGGGTACGCTTGCCCCGGTGCGTTGGCCTTGGTCAGTGTTGCAGTGTCTGGTTGTTCTTGGATTGTGAGCACCGTTTTTCACTCAAACAGGAAAATTTTGAAAGCGTTCTTGCAGAGCAGGTTCCAACTGTAATGGAAATTTATCTGATCCCTCTGTCAGAGAATACTGCAGTGCAATGAACGGTCAAGTATAAAAGTCACACCTCTTGCTCGGCTCATGCGCCCACTGCAAATCTCTAAAAGTGCAACCAAACCTGAGATACCTTCAGATACCATTTTCAGTGTTATTAACCTCATACAGCGACCAACATTTTTTTCTTACTGTGGTTACAATGCAACAGTCTGAGGGCTTCCACCTTTTAATGACTGGAGATTACATTTATTTAGAAATCAAGCTATCCTGTAACAGAGCAGCATCCTGGGTAGTGAGCCATAGCATTCATGTAAAAAAAACAAACAGCAATAATTGTTGCAAAACAGATTACTCCTCAAGTCTAACGCATTTCTTAGTAATATCATACAATTATTGCAAAAAGCAAAACCAATGCTGTGCTTTTATTTTCATTATGATTCATCTACTAAACCAAAAGAGAAATTCACCAGTACACCTGGACATATTTAACTTTTCCAGCAAAGAGAATTGAGAACTTCTTCAACTTTTTTATACCTGTCTTCTGTTTGGTTTTGACCAAACTGAATTCAGATTCTGTAGAAAAATAAATACCCTAAATACCCGATGATGCAACTAAAATTTGCACCAGTAAAGAAATTGTGTGCTTAATTACTGACGGGGAAGATGATCTTGTTTTTATTTCTAACTCAGTCTCAGATAGAACAGTGAGTTTTATGAAATAAAAATATAACAATGGAGTAGTTACTCAAATTACAAACTGCAGGTGAATAACTGTATATTGCATATTAATAGTTAAAGTGCTTTGGCCACAAAATTGCAGAACAGTTATTCTTGATCTGTTCAGTTTCTGCAAATAATCTCAAACATAACAACCCAAACTGTCCCTTTGTCCTATTTGTGAAGCACAAAACTTTTTCCTTTTCCTCACAACAAAACCCCATATTTGTGCAAGAATGTAATTCACAATCTGCATAATAATTGTGCATGTGCTGCATTTGCGAGCTATAATGTGACATTTCCTTGTCTTTTTATTTCAAAGTTTAAACTTATGTTCCACATGGGCTTAGCAGAATGTCAAATCAATCCCCCTTCCCTCCTCTGGAGCATGTCTCATTAGCATGCAGTGCAGAAACCAGTGTCCTCACAAGGGCAGAGCCGGAATGGCGTGGAAGCAGAGCCGGCTTGGATATTGGTGAATGACATGGAATCGGCGGCCACTTCGGCACCCTCCGGGATTAGTGACAAGAGCAAACTGAGGCCAGAACTGTTATCTTCATCCTTCAGTCCTCTCTCGTGTTCACACAAACACAAGCAACACGAGCTCTTTAAAGCTTGCGCAGACATCACGATGAATTTGCACCGGCTTAATTAGCCTTGGCAAATATTTTTAGCATGTATGTGAGCGTGTGAATAACACTTGCCCGTCATGGGTTTGGAAGTAGGTGTAGCCTCCCGAAGCAGAGTGGAAATGAGGTAAATCTTTTTTTTTTTTTTAATTAAATAAGTTGCTCCCTTTCCTCTGAGCTTGATTCCTCCCAAAGCACATAACCATTAATACTGCCTGTAGCATCTTACTGAAATATTCATCATTTTCCTTTCCTCTTGATGAGCTACGATTAGGAAAACATTCCCACACGAACATGTGCTAAATTCAAGAACCCCTCCAATATGTGTGATTTTGTACATAAGGTTACCAAATGTGAAGAAAGCGAATGGCTAGGGAAGAAGTAATCAACCGATCACTCCCTTCTGGTGTTCATGTCAGCAGGCAGACGGCAGAGAAGCCGGGCTTCTGTGGGAGGGGAGGTGCCTTTTCCCCTTCACAGCTTCACAGAGCAGGGCCAGGTGTCATCTGCCACAAAGTTAACACTCTCATGAATCCCATTAATGTGCTAACAAGCTCACATGAGATTCAGAGCCATGCATGATATTTATTTTAAATCAGTTCACTCTGAATCTATTTGTCGATAATCCCTCAAAATGAAGCTCAAAAATCGAATATTTGAAAAACACAATTAAGTATTCAAAAATGGATAGGATGGTATAATTTATCTTTTAGAAGGAGTAAATACTTCAAGTTTCCTATTGTCAGATAACATTTGTATCACTTTTCTAATGAGGCACTCTACATGAGTTCAATCAGAAGCCAAAAATTCACGTTTCATGTCTTTATTGTAGCGTAATTGATTGTTTTTTGTTTTTTTTTTACCTCCATTTTGTTATAACCTTGTGGACAAAAGGTTTAACCTTAAAAAAATGTAATTGTTTATTGCTCATCTTAAACTGAGTGTTTTGGAAATTTCCCCAGAGTAATTGCAGTTGAACTCAAACAATAACCACTTCTTTTTTTTTTTTTTTACCTAGATTGGCAATTTAAAATGTTCATAAGCATAATTTAGACAATTCAGCAGTGTGATTAAATGAATATTTAATGTAGCCTCGAAGTGACAATGACAATAGCCTCTTCCACAAATAAATTCTGTCATAAAGCCTCCTCTGAGCCTCCTCTCTCCATTTAAATGAAGACGATGGTGCCAGCAGTGTGGGACAACAGAAGGTGTGGTGCCACATTGACGTCAGTGCTACACAGAAAATCTGCATAAGTCTCCCTCCGTTCTTTTCTAAATGAACGGAGGTCAAAGTTAGCATAGCAATCCTGTTCTTAGCTGAGCAGATGTTGCAAATTAGATCATTTTCACCTTAGACTTTTCGTCAGACTCACTTCTGAGTCGCGATGTTAGATTCTGGACGTGGCTTGTTGCACAAATCATTGTGTCATTTCTACTTTGACCAGTGAAACCTGTTTTATCTTTTTTTCTAATTCTGCTTAAGTGGGACTATGACTACTTTGCATAGTCAAGGAAGTAATACAGGTGGGTTGCCTTCTGTGTGGATCGCGGCACAAAGCACCCTGACTCTGCCTTCAAGTGTTTTGTGAAAGGGACTTTTATTAGCTTATTCTACTTTGGTATAAGCCTTTTCTTTACTTCCTTGCAGATTGTATTGTTTCTACTGAAGGTATGAACAACAATACCAAATACTGAATTCCAAATACTGTCCTCCAAGCCCAACTGTTTTAATGAACACAACATTATCTGCTTGAATAATGTTGAATTCTTTTCAAGTATTTAAATAAAACAATTTCACACTTTTACAGCAGCAAATATAAAATTACTACCAAAGAAAAAGCATGGTCTGTTTCACTGTTAGCTCATACATCTCAAAGTTAGGAGCTCTGATCTGGGAATGTTTTCAGAGCTGGCTGCTAACTGCTATTAGCAATACAAGGCAATAGCAATGAAGAACAAATGACTATGCATGCACAAAATGACACTCAAAGGCAAATTATTGGGGTCAATTGACATGGCATGCATGATTTTGAAAAGTGGGAGGAAGTACGCAAGAAGAACATATGCAGCACAAGAAACTGTAATCTGCTTGCAGAAAGATGTCAGCTGGCAAACACACCCAGGCGCTTCTGAAAACTGTTCCATCATGCTGGCCTACAGCTTTCTTAATGATGCAAAGGGAGTCATTCCTTCCCCCTGCTCGCTCAGTGTGAGGTGTTGCTGAAAAGGCAATGACTCAATTGCCTGGGCTTATGAACAGTATGATTTTGGACCTATTGGCACTGTAAACAGAATGAGAGTGTTATGCATTAAGCTTAAGACCTTCCTGTGTGCCACAATGATTGGGTTATACTTGTATAAATTAGATTTATTGTGTATTTATGAATAATTGGAAACAATCTGGACCAAATTTTCATGTGAGGCGCCTTGAGATGACATTTGTTGTGGATTGGAATGATATAAATAAGCTGAATTAACTAAATGTGGTGGTTTGTGGCCTATTTTAAAGACCATAATATGAATTATTTCTTTTAGACTATTTATATCGCTT